TCTTGGGCTTTCCCCGGCGCCGGGGCTCAGGGGGCACCCAGCCGTGCCTGGCCCCCCCCCCCCCCGACCCTTCTCGGGGTCCTATGCCCTCACGGGCCCAGTACTGCCCTCTCGGGCTGGAGTCTCAACCCCACCCCCGCACCACTCTGGTGCCACACTGTCGCGCCTTCCCGGCGCTGCTCGGTGCCCAAACGGGGCACCCAGGAAACCCCTGGACTGCTGGGGATCTCCTGTGAGGCCTTCTCACACCCCTACAGCCTCACCCAGTCCTCCGGTTTTTATATACATGTCACAGAACCATAAGCCGACTGGCTGTAACAAAACAATAGGCCTCCTGGCAATAAAAAAACAATAAGCCTACCGGCTATTACAAAACAGTAAGCCTACCGGCCACAACATAAAGGCCAGGCCCACCTGGCTCTCTGGCCCACAGCCTCCTGGTCAGGCTTCTCCTCACCCTGACCATCATGCAGCCCTCTGGGTGCTCAGGCTACACTGCTTGGCTTAGCTCTCCCACAGAGCTCTTGCTTCTCAGGCTGCAGGATGGTAACCACTAGCCAGGCCGGAGCCTGGCTGTTTATAAGGGCCCGGCCCTGCCCCCTTCCAGTCACATGACCCATCTGGTTGCTCCAGCAACCCGCACCTGAGCTGCCCTGGTGACTGGCAGCTGCTCTACACTCTTACTCAGGCACGGGGCACCCAAGTGCCCCCATGACAACAGTATATTAATCTACTGAGCAGTAAAGCATCATCATCTACATGTGAACACCATTTACTGCGACATAATTAGGCTACTGCACAGTTAGCTAGTACCTGTAAATACAGGTACTACATTAACTATGCAGTACTGTGCAGTAACTCTCATGTAGATGCTGACTGGAAGTAAATTTGCTCCCGGTCAGCCTTGGCAGCAGGGAGCCACAAGGGACAAGGAGCTCTCTGTTCCCAGTCCTGGTGCTGTTCAGCTCCCACCTCCTCCCAGAAGCTGGGAGCCAACTGGCACTGGGACTGGGGAGCTCTCTGCCCCCTGTCCCAGGTCCCGGCTTCCAGCACAAAGCTGGTAGCTCCAGAGGGTGAGGAGGGGCTGGGAACCCAGCTCCCATCTGGCCCCTGGAGTGGCTGTGATGCATGAAGCTGGCTGCTCTGGGGAGATGGTGAGGGGCTGGAAACCCAGCCCCCACCTACCCCATGGAGCAGCTTGGCATGGCACAGAACTGGCCCCCATGGCACACAGAGCTGCTCCAGGGGATAGGGGGGGACTGGATTCCCAGTCCCCACCCGCTCCCCAGAGCAGCCAGCTCTGCACCAAGCAAGGCAGCTGCCGGTGGCAGGGGCCTTGCTGGCAACTGTGTGTCACAAGAGCCATAGGGCCAGGAGAGCTCTGCCTGCTGCAGGGGCAGCTGTCTCCCAGTCCAGTGCACATGAGGTCCCTTCCTGATGTGCATGGGACCAGGATAAAGCTGCCACTGCATCTGACAGAGCTCTCCCAGCCCTGTACCCACTGGGACTGGCCCCATGCGAGTCCCTGAGCTAGCACCAGTGGGAGTCTGGAGCTCCCCCGGGCTGCTGCAGGGAGGCAGAGCAGGGCAGGAGCAGCTCTGTGCCATGTAGGCATGCCCTGTGTATAGTAATTATTTTTAAGCAATTATTTCCATTTCATTGTTAAAGATTAACACACCTTACAATGACCTTGAAGTAACTCATCTATTCCTGATTCCATTTACTTTTTAATATTTTGAAAAATGTTATTGAAAAACAAGAAGAAGGGAAATTTCCTGGCAGAATTATACATCCTGGCCACATCTACATGCGATGCAGGCTGCACAATCATTACTGTGTAGTTTAAACAAGTACTAAATGACTGTGCTGTAACTGGATTTACTATGCAGTAGCATTGCCGAATGGCTTTCAGATGACACTGACTGCTCAGTAGCTCATTACTACTGCACAGTAGTGTTGCGTCACACCTCCTGCCATGAAACGCCACTCTGCAGTAACAAGCTACTGTACAGTAAGCATCTCGTGTAGACACAGTCTCTGAAAAGCAAAAGGCAGTTAAATAAATAGGTGGAGGATGGTTAAGACATAAGGTTTAAACTCTCTTTGGTTGATTAGTTAAAATGTAAGCATTGGTTATGATGATTCTGTTTTATTAAATATGTATGTACTTGTTCTGAAAACTGTGCTTTGGTTAATTCCTATAGCATAAAAAAACCTTGCAAATAATTCTACCAAGTGTAGCATTTATAGATATCATTAATTAAATTAGACTTCAATGGGCTACTTCTGGTATTGAACACTATTACATTGTTTATCCTTTTCAGTATCAAATAATCAATCTATGTTACTTATTTTTAATATATATTATTCTTTTAAGTTTGAAGCAGACAGACGTGCCTTTATCATCACCATTAATTCATTTGGCACTGAGCTGAGTAAAGATGACAGAGAGAAACTATATCCAACCTGTGGAAAGTTGTATCCAGAAGGCATACACCTGCTGGCCAATGCAGATGACTATGAGCAAGTGAAGTGTGTGGCAGATTATTATGCAGTATGTAATGTATCTAATTTCTAACAAAAAGATGATTCAATATTCTATAGGCAATGATTTCTTAGGATGATATTTTTTGTTGGACCAAATTCCATAGCATTTGTTTAAAAAAATACATAAAGGAACTCTGACCATCATATGCAAGTCCAAATACTTTAAACTGACAAAATAAACAATACAGGAATTATACAAATGATCCTGTAGAGAAGTCAATGCACAGAAATATTGTATTCTTTCCAAAGATATTTGAATAGTGACATTATCTTGATGCCATGTAAATTGTCCATCATAGAGAGGTCAAAATAGGGCCAAATCACACCTTCTTACAGGCAAAAAGTGTTCCCATCCCACTAAAAGCCACAGAAGCTGAGGTTCACTACATACTTGCTACCTCAAGGAAGAAAGGGTTAGAAAGCCATTAAAGAGATTAGACTACAGCCTTCCACATCTAGAGATGAAAAAGGAAGAAAACCTGGCATAGGACTTCTTGGTTTCCTGGCAGCTTATTTCCTATAGGAGATTTACTGTCATTGGTGAACTGCAGAAAATATCTCTATTACCAGGGTTAAACAACAAAGTTTAAGACCTGCTACCTCCTGTAGTCTTAAACACAGATATCCACTACTGCTAGAGGCAAGAATGCAACAAGAATGTGTGTTAGTATTTCCTATTCCCAGTGTGAAACTCTGTTGAGCCCTGGCTTCAGAGCCACAAGTTTCCACAAAGCCTCAAAAGAGGGAAACATGATTTCACAGAGCTGGTATTCTCTCCCTTTCTTTCCCACTCTGTCATTCTTCAGTGAGGACTATTTGATCAGTATTATCTTTTTTCAGGGGAAGTGTAGAATGGAAGAAAAGACAGAGAAAACTAATAGATACCTGGAGTAAACCTGTAAGGGCAAGTGTAGATGAATTGGGAGCCCTAAACTGAAGCCGTGAGTTTTTAAAAACATCGCTTCAAGTGAGGGCAAAGTTAACCCTCATGTCACGTACACCTGTGTCTTACCTGCTTCTCCAGCAGTGGGGGAGGGAGGGCAAGCTGCCGGTGGATGGAGCGGTCCCTGGGGTGTGCGGGGTGGGAGGTTGGTGCTTCCCTCTACAGCAGTGGCAGCTCCCCCCCAGGTGGCACCCACCTGCAGGTACCCAGCTAGGGTGGTCCCAGGGGGTACCGCAGCTGTGGAGGGAAGGACTGGGTTCCCCACAGCTCATGCAGGCAAGCAATTTCCAGGAGGAAAAAAAAGAAAGAAAGAAAGAAAAAAGATCAAGCTCGCTGCTTCTTTTTTTGTTTTTTTCTCCTTCGGTGGAGCCTGCCTTCCTGGGCTGCTGCCAGGCTGTCTGCATGGGCTGCCTGCACAGCCCCTGAGCTGCATGGATCCCGGTGCTTCATTTTACGGCTGTAGGGCAGCAAACTAAAACTCCTCAGACATATTTTAGTTTGCTGTGTGCCAAAGT